AGGTTAAGAAAACTGGTTTACTTCTCTCCCAATTCATGAAAAACCTGTAGAAACAGGCAGTTGTTTTTCATCAAAGTATTTATAAAATGTCTATGTATTGTATAAGATTTCATACAGTTAATTGTTTCTTTTAAAAGTCATGCATGTACGAATGCCTGTTCTTTGTCAGGTATTCTGATAGATATTTCCACATAGATAAGTCACCTCAATTTGTTTTCATGTTAACTCCATGAGATTTTTCTCATTTTAAAGATGAGGGAATTAATACCCAAGTAAGTAAAGTATTTTTCCCAAGGTCACACAGAGTGAATGACAGAACTAAAATTTGAATCTACTTCTTCACAATCCAAACCCAACATCTTTTCATCTCAGTTTTGGCATTTTTGACATATTAGACTGAATAATTCTTTGTTGTGGGAGGTTTGTCATCTGTAGTGTAGGTTGTTTAGCATCATCTCTGGCCTCTATCCATTAAATGCTAGCAGCATCTTCCCCTCCATTTCTGACAACCAAAAGTATCTCCAGATGTTGCAAAATGTTCCCTAAGGAACAAAATTATTCCTGGTTAAGAACTATTTGTTGTTCTACACGGTGGTACCTTCCTTCTAAATTTTTAATCCAAAAATATTTATTCAGTTTTTATAAACAGCATATATAGAACATACTGTTGGTTGACCAGTTACTGTGAATAAGAGCATATTGTAGGATGATGAGTAAAGTGATCTCATGCAAGAACTTAAGTAATAGCTGATCATGGAGACAAGAGAGGAAGCCAGGAAAAGTACCATCACAACTTGGTTTAAATGGAAAAGTACTTAGTTGCAAAAATAAGCTGAATTCATATGTGACATTACAGTTGAGAGAGAGAATTCAACAAGCAGGTAAGCAGACAAGCTGAGGAGAACATAAGCATCTGCAAGCAAAGCATAAAAGTGGGTCGGAAACCTGAAAAAATTCCAAGGTATATTAAGCTGAGGCAGTACAGAGAGTCAGGGACCAGGAAAACAGGACCACAGACATGACAGAATAGACTAGGAGACAGTAAAAGAAACACAGAAGCCACTACAGAAAGGAAATCTGTTACATGCTACTTATGGATATAATGCTCACTGAAGGGCGTTCTCAACCTTGGCCTGCTGTTGGACTCAATGTGGTGAGCAGCACAGGAGATAATGTGCAGTCTCATTTTATGTGGATTTGAATTATAATAATACAAAAGTGCTTAGTAAAACTATTTTAAAAGTCTTACTTTGTATACTAAAGTAGAAAAATTAAATTCATTAAGAATCACAAAATTTTTAAACTGGAAGAGTGAATTGAAACTTTATAATGTTACCTCATTACCTTCATGATAATCAGAGATAAGTTACCATACTATGTCAATATTGTGTGAGCCACACTATTGGTTACGTGCTTCAAAAATTCTGAGAGTCACTTAATGGCTCTTCAGTTGTTGAGTCATCATTTATTCTTACCATAACTTAAAATAGTTTCCCCATACGGTGTCATTTAAGTACCAATAAATTTAATGCTATCATGCTGAAAATGCATCTTAAGATCAATAACTTTGAAAAGAAGTTAAATGTAATATGATTCTGAAAAAAGCTAAACAATGTGGCCTTGTCATCAGTTTAGGGAAGAGAATTCTGAAGGAAAAAAGCACTAAAACAAAAATGTGCTTCAGTCGTTATAGATTTATATATACTGGGCATACATCTCCTCTACTTCGCTTTTATTCCCATAAGAAAATTTCCTTAGAATTATAAACATTCTGACTTATTGAAGTTCTTAAGGATCGAGTTCTTTCCATAAAATAAAATTGCTCTATGTAAATGGAGTATTAGTATGTTGGAATGGGGAAGTAAATCACAAGACGAAACTGAAAAAACTACAAATTATTAAGGTTAATGAGGCAGAATAACAAAGAGAGAACATCAAAATTTATCTGAGAAAGCAGTATTTGTGCTGAGACCTAATGGATGAGTAAGAGTTTGTCAGGTAGAGGAGAGAAAGGCATTTCGAACAAATGCTGCAAGCAGGATAAAGCTTGATGTGCTTGAGAAACCGAACATCTGGCTAGAGATGAGGCAGTACAGATGATACAGGGCTTTATAGCCTATGGCAAGTAGAGAGGAGTGTTCTAGCCAGGGGGAAAGACTGTGGGTTCAGATTCTGGCTCTGTTAGGTGTGTGAAGTTAAATTACCTCTCTCTGTTTGAGTTTTGTCATCAGTAAAAAAGTAGTATTGACAGGACTTTTCTTAAAGGTTGTTATGCGGTTTAATGAGTTAAAATATGTAATTTGTTTTTATCATTTTTCGAGATTTATTCTGAGTGCAATGAGATGCTATTGCAGGATTTTAAGTGACATTATATAATTTATCTTTTAAAAGATCACTCTAGCTACTGCTTCAATTTGAGAAAATCTTGATGGGAATTTAAAGATTTCAAAGTCATTTTAAATGATAAGCAGCTTTTTGAGCTTGAGAGTAGAGTCCCAGTCACATGTCCATCTGAGAGAAAAATCAAAATTGGGTATAAATTTGCCACAAAGAAAAAAAAAAATTAAATGATCGAAGACTAAGAAGCGATCAATTAGAGAATTAAGTCAGGATATCTTGATCTTAATAATGAAATTTTTAAAGCTGAATCATTAATTCTTAATAATTAATTAGTTAGGGGATACCGAAGAGTATTTTGGATATCTTAGACAAATGCAAAATTCCCAAACTAAGATGGCCCACCGTGAGTTTTAAATGAGACCATATGTGTAAGATTAAATTATAAAGGAATGGGATAGGCTTACGATTTTTACGTGGGACACAAAAAGCACTGCCATTAAAGAAACGGTGATAAATTGGACTTCAGTAAAACTAAGAATTTACATTCATCAAGAGACAATATTAAGAGAGTGAAATATCACCGCACACCTATTGGAATGTCTAATGTGTAAAAGGCTGGTGGTCCCACTCTAAGAGAGCTCGTTAGAAGAACTGGAACTCCCAAACATTGCTGATGGGAGTGTAAATTGGTACAACCACTTTGGGAAACTCTATGCGGCATCTAAGAATCTAAACATACGTACACCCTACAGAGAATTCTACTCCACAGTGTCAGTTGTATCTCAATAAAGCTAGGGAGGACAAAATGAGTACTTAGGTCCATCAAAAGATATATACAAGAATATTAATAGCTAGTAATAATAGTGAAATGGTTAAATAAATTGTGGGATATTTATATAACAGCATACTCCATAGTAATAAAAAATAACGAACTGCATGCAACAACAAGATACATCTCATAAACCTTATGTTAAGCGAAATAAGCCAGACAAAAAGTTCAAAAATAAGCAGTACTAATCTTAATAGAGGTCAGACTAGTGATTACTTTGGGGGAAGGGAATCAACGGGGAGGGAACACTGGGAGCCTTCTTCTGGGTTTATTCTGTATTTTATTCTTTACATTTTGCCCAGCTGAATAATTTAAATTGGTGCACTTTATGTAATTTAAAATGTAATTAACAATTACAATGTAAGTAATGTTTTAAAAGTAAACAATATAAACAGACTTGTCTTTTGAAAGGTTTTTGTTTTGTTTTTAGTTTCTTTCTTTCTTGAATTTTTCAAATAGAGAGTGGACTGAAGAAAATTGTAAGTTGGAACTGGAGGGATGCAGAAAGTGTTAAAAGAAATAGAAAGAGCAGGAGACAGGTGTCTTTAGACATTTGGGTTGATAGAACTGAGGAGAAATGAAACGAGATCAATAATAAGACGAAAACTACAAAGAAAGATATACCTTTTTACACTCTACAAATGTGGCACTGTACACCATTCTTATTCTGATCAATTGACCACGGTTTAGCATCAGGCTTTCTTCATCAGAACTAATTTGAATCCTGAAGTGATTTCTTTTGGAATGTTAGCTGTCCCTGTTCCAAGTGTGTCTTATTTCTACATGACACCTTCTCCAAAGTGAGCACACTGAAATATCAGACTAGATATTCGGCCAGTGCTAAAATTCCCTGACTAGCTTTTGGCAGCTTTAAAAGTTATATTACTTTCTTTCACTTTATCAATCTCTATTATATAGTTAGGTTGTTTTACTTCAGGTCTCCCATCGACATTTCTTTTGTATGCATATACTGAAGTGATTTTATTTAATAAAAAGAGAACATCTCCTGTGTGGATTTTAAATTTCCCTTATTAAATATTTATATTTTCAAAATGTCTTTATTTAATTGAGTGAGGTGCTTGGTGCCATTTCAAAATAACCTCAGGTGGTAGGTGTAATGACATATCAAAGATTTGACCTTTAGCATTTTAGGATTCTATTTATCTGCATTTTCCTCTGCATTCATTTAGTCTTAATTTATATGCTATTTCTCTGTATGATTTTATGAGTGGATGTATTTGGCATAAGATTCATTAACAAAAAGAAATATATCTGAATACATATTATTCCTGTGCAGTCTGACTAGTGATTTTAACTTCATTTATATCTCACTTATGACAGGTAAAAAAATGCTTTGTGTAAGGCCAATGGGTGTTTGTACAAACTTCATTCATTCTCATTAAGTGCTCAGCCGAATAGACTCTAGATTTACTAAACTGATGCCCATTCTTGTCTCACGTCTTTGCAGTCAGCTTATTATTATATTCTTTTATTTACCTAGAGATACTTTTTCAGTTATCTGCTATTCCTTTTAAAGAAAATTGACTGTAATATTTACATTGACATAATTAAATTAACATCATGCAGCATCCTCTTATATGCCTTGGTAGCATGTATAATCATTTGTCTGGGTAGCTTTCAGCCTCAAAGCAGAGAACTAGAATAATCATCATGTATAATATTGTGACATAAAAGTTATTTTTATATAAGTGTGTCTTTATTGAGATTTTTAGTAATTTATATTTCTCACTGGAGATTTTCGTTACATGAATTATTGGCCAGTCAGCCTACATATTTATGTTTAAAATTACTCATTTTTGTGTTTTCTCAGTTTACATAAATCCTTATCCCAAGAAGAAAATCTGAAGGATCAGTTTAACCATACCCTTAGTACCTATGAAGAAGCATTAAAGAGTAGAGAGAATATTATTTTCATCACTCAACAACAAAATGAAGAACTAGCTACCCAACTGCAGCAAGCTCTGACAGATCGAGCAAACATGGAATTAGAGCTTCAGCACGCCGTGGAGGCCTCCCAGGCGGCCAGCGACAAAGTTCAGAAGTGAGTAATATGATCTTGCATTATTTCAAAAGCACAAAACAAAACAAACAAACACACTTTCTTTTAGCAACTAAACAATATATTTATTATTCATGCTGCTGGTAGTTTAAGACAAAAGTTCATTGAGCCAAATGAACTTTTTTAGACTGCCTCTCATGTCCATATTTGGGATCAAGAAGCCATTTACTTGGGAATTATAGTTACTGTGTAAGAGCAAATCATTTTTATTTAATAACTGATCTTCATCAGTTCATGAAAGCCATACTATTAAAATCATCTTACAGGTAATAGATAAAGTTATTAGCAAGGGAAGAGGCAGTCAGGCTACCAATTTAACTCATTTAGCTCCACAGTAATCTTGCTCTAGTTGAAATCATCTGTAACCTTTAATCTGAGACCACTAGACACAAGGATATGGTACAGTGAAATTAATTTTCATGTGTTGTTCTTCTGAAGTGTTCACTAACAGCTTTTCACAGTGCATAATTACATTTGCTTGTTTTCGTGTGATCTTTGCATTTTTATTAAAATTTAAATAAAGCTGCACAATCAGTCAGTCCTTAATGATAGCCAGCAAAATGTTAATGAATAACTTTTCAGAAAAAGGAGTCACTTGTTAATCTATGGGACTTGAACATTGTAGCAGAATTTTCTAAGGCAGTTTTAATGTAATAGGACTTGTCATTTTAACTGAGCCCTTCTTTATGTATTGTTAACAGTATTACATCATTCACATACCTAATTGCTTTTAATTTTTAAGATATGCCTTTTTTCTTTTTTTTTTTTCAGTTCCACAGTATAAAGAAGTAGTGATAACTTCAAGGTTTCTTATTTCTCACTACTTTTTATTTGAAAATAAGTCATCTCAACTATTTCCCCAGCATCTCTGAAATTATATGTTGGTAATAGCCCAAAGTTAGGTAAATCTATAGTCAAGACCATTTTAAAACAGATTAGGAATTTTGCACATGAATCTTTATTATCATTGTACCTTGAAACTTGTGATTTATGGTATTATATTTTTTGTAGATTTAAAGATCAGGTTTATATTCAGCCAGAAACTGTATCCAGTTATTCATAATGTTCATTAATAATCTGAGTACACCAAGACACATTTTAAATTCATTTAATTATAAATTACAAAATAGTAAGGATCTGTCAGGATCTGATTTGACAGTCAGTTGCTTAAAGTCTACAAATAATTACAAATTTTAAGTGTAATTACTTTTATATTTTTATATATGTAATCCTTTAATTTCTATATATAACTAAAATTCTCTAAAACAGTGTTTCCCAGAGAGCAATTAGCTTCTAAAAATATTTTGAAGATGTTGTCAACCTTTTGTTTTTTAGATCTCATCAACTGTTGTTATCATTTTGTAAAAGAAATAACTTTGTACACCAACATCATCTCAGATAATGCTTTAAATTGAATAAGTTTAACCCTTTGAAAAATTCACTATATTAACCACACAGATCAAAACTTTTTAACAGAATGGCACCAGTTTATGAACAGAGTTTAAAGGCAACAATTATGTCACTTACAAGAGTTAAATTTGAATTTAAATGTTAAATCTCTTATTCTAATTTTCAGCAGTAAGATCTAGATGAAATATTATCATGCTTTTCTTTCCATAATCAATCTGCTAATTTTATTTTTAATTGCCCTCAATTGGGTAGTGTATCTTTATTGCAGTTAATTCGGACCTCAGCCTATTCTGTTGGGTTTAAGAGGATAACATTCCAGGAAACCAATTTATATAATACCAATTTGTTAGATGGTATTATTATTCTCTAATCTGAAATTTCTGTTATTAGCAATTATTTTTGAAGCGCCTTTATAAATATATTCGTGTTCTGGGCGATAATTACAATTTAAACTAAAAACATCTATATTTTCTCTTTTCCCTTCACAACCAAATTTCTTTTTTTTCTTACAGTGATTATTATTTTTATTATTAATATCAGTCAATGTATGTTCTTAGATAAGATTCTTTTGAATAGGAAAAGCTAAAATAAAAACTAAAATCTACCCTCACTAGCTCAAGAAAAAGGTAGTGTTGGGCGAGCTAAGGTGGTGGCTGCCAAATTTTTTGAATAACTGATCTGTACTATCTCAAATTTTTCAATTCCCATTTGCTCCTCTGTTGTTCAGTACACTATGGCCAGCTAGATATTATACTCAATTGTTGTTCTTAAGATGACCAATGATTTCCTAACTGTTAAATTCAATGCCCCATTTGTAATTATATTTTTATTATAAAACTGATATGATCATGGTAAAAAAATAAGTAAAGATGCTCATGTATCTTCAGCAGTATAGCCTATTGGTTTAAAAGCTCACGCTCCAGATTCAGAATGCATAGGTATGTGAACTTGGACATTTTATTTCAAAACACTGTGCTGATGTGGACAATAATATTTCTACCTCATAATGTTATAAGAATTAGATGAAATAATACATGTAATGCTTTTAGAACAGTGCACGTTGCGTAGTCCCTCCTTCTCGTCATTTCAGTCCAAACTGCACTGTCTTCTTCAGAAAGACTCTGCCTTTTCAAGACTGAATGCCTTTTTATATGTTGGTCCCTTGTTTAGAGCCTTTTGCCTTTTTCCCCCATGAGAAACTTATTCATCTTATGAGATTCAGTGCAGCATAGAAAATAGAGACAGGCTTTGCAGTCTAGTGAGACAGACCTGTGTTTGAATCCCTGCTTTCTTACTTATTTCCTGTGAGATTTGGGGCAAATTACTTAACCCTCGGAAGCAAAAGTTCCTCAGTTAAAAAATTCAGACAAGAATACCGGCTTCGCAGGCAGAGTCGATGTGAGGAGCAAACTGGATAGCATGTAAAATGCCTAGTTCAGTGCCAGTTACTTTATCATAGGCATTCTATAAATTATAGTATTAGTATCACCATATTCATCAAACTAGCAAGACCAGTTCGATTTCCTCTTCTCTACAAAATCTCCAACGCCCTAGAAAGTTAAATCACTCCTTTCTGTCGGATATCATAGTATTTTTGCTGAAAATTACTCCCTTGAAAATAAAAGCCTTCCCCATTTTCCTCTGTTTCCTGTCTCAGTTAATGGTCTTCAGCAATTTCAACACTGTCCTTGTTCCCTCACTCTTTCTTACCATTCACATTTACTTTGCCGTAATCCCTATTTTGTCTACTATCTGAGTATCTCCTGATTCCTTCCACCCCATCCTCACTTGATAATTACATTAATTCAAGCCCTCATCATCTCTCATCTAGACTATTGAGATAATCATAAAACTAGTTTACATGCCTGTAACTCTCTCAAGGTTATCTTTCTCACTCCTAGAGTTGATTTTTCTAAAACAAAAATCAGATTATATTACTTTCCTATTTAACATCTTTCAGGGGCTCTTCCTCTCCTACAAGTTAAAGTATAAACAACTGAGCATGACATATGAGGCCATCAGTAGCCTTCTCCCATTTTTCTGGTATTATTCCCTACCACAATGTCTCTGCACATGTGCTTGCTTCTTTTTAGAACATATTTTTCCCTTTTAGTACCTGGCCAAATTTTTGTTACTCGTTAAAGTCCAGTTTAAATGTTATCCCTACAATGTTTCTTTATTATTTCATTCTTTATTGTGTTCACAATACTTAGTCCCTACCTTTATTAGAGACCTTAATCATCTAGGTGTTATAATTGTTTTGTATATCTGTTTCCTATCTACCCCACTCCCTGCAAAGTTACCCATCATTGAACTTTCCCAAGACATGGACAGTGTTCTATTCATCTTTTTACTTCCATGTTCTCCAGATACTTGCACGATGCCTGCCGTAAGGTAGGCGCTTCATAATTGCTTATGAACAAATGAACTAGAACAATTTAATAGTGGGATGGAATGACAGAGCAAATTAAAAGCACATCAAGTCAGGAGTACACAGGAAAATTTCAGATATACTTTGATCTGCTTTGAGCCCTAGATAAAATGTTTTTATCCCAACCCAGTACCCAGAGCTTACCAGCTTCGTAGAAAAGTATGGTCCTTCTTGCCTACCTCCCTTGCTGGCACCCCTATTCTTTTCACTCTCTTAAGAGTTAGGGTCTCTTACTTCCTAGTGATCAGCTTTTAACCCTTGTCCTAACTTGTCCACCAACTTCCATTGAGTTCAATTACATTAAAAAGACTTGAAATCTTCAATAATAGTAGAGAGAGACCACATACTCTTTCTAATAATTGTAGAATTTTAAATTTGTAGTTTGCTTTATTTCAGAATCAAAAAATTTCTTCGATTTTTTAACCTATAGGAGTTAACTAGAAGGAGAAGTTGTACAGAACTAACATCTATAAGTCAGTCAATATTTATAGGCAGATAGTCACTTACAGAGTAAAATGTAATGAATGCCAGACCACATTACCCCAAAATAGCTTCTTGGCCCAGGTGTCATAAAGCCTGAAGTTTCACCAGCAAAAATTCATTCCCTTGGGTTAAGCATTACCGTCCTTATGTATGTCTCTTTAAAAAAATGTGTATACTTTTGGAAGAAGAGCACATTGTGATTTAGCTTTTAAATTGCTCTTTTGATGCACTTGGATGCACTTGGTTTGGGAGAGTTAATGTGAAGGTAAAGGGAACTAAAGAGCAAGTTAAAAGCACAGGAGCTTTGTAAGAAAAACTCAATAGTTTTGCCAAGGACCAGCCATGATTCTTCATTTGTTAAAGAGAGCACTGACACACTAATTCATTAATCAATGTTTTTACCATCACAAGAGATTTAAAATTCGGTGGTTATTTATGCTACATTTTATTTTCTATTTGTCTTTCCATCTACAGATATGTTTCTTATGTCCTAGAAGAAAAGTTTTCCAAAGGATTTTTAAAATATATTTTACTATACTTAACATGCCTAAACTACACATAGTTACTGAAAATAAAAGTGTTTATGACCTGACTTAAGAGATCAGAAAATCTATCAAAGATTTGAGTTTTGCAATGAAATAACTTTCGTCGCATGCGA